ACAGCTTGTAAGGTACCTGGCTTGAGCCCAGCACAACGTAAACAGAAGTCACGCTGGACCTGGACCATACCATCTTCCAAAGCCAAATCAAGATATGACTTACCAGCGGGTAAAACACCTTTACCTAACCGCAGGACGGAGACAATCCTATCAGGACCCCAGACCTCAGCACCATAACAGAGAACCGAACGGACCTGGGTGTCGAACGCTTGAAGCCGAACGGCAGGAGCCCACACCCTGTTCTCATCCAACCGATTACTAAGACCGAACATAGCCCGTCGCCCTGCTTCCAAAAGTTCGTTGACACAACTCGCAAACGGGGACGCAGGGCCCCAATAGAGACCCAAGTACCTAACGCGACCACACCAGTTAATAGGACTAGGAACAAGTAAACTACCAACCATGGGTGGGTGCCAAAGCGACCCATCAGTACGGAGAGGAAGCATGAGCCTCACCCCCTCAAACGCCCTCTTAACGACATCAACGGAAGCAGCCACAACAAGGGCCTCACATTTCCGAACGTTGCAGCGCATACCAAAAGCAGCACAGAACTCAATAAGCAGCTTAAGCGAGAACTGGAGGCGTGCCAACGAGGTCGCGAACAAAGTAAGGTCGTCTGCATAGAACAACAGAGGCAACCGACGATCATTAATGACAGGACATTCGTGTGCACGTGTGTTGAACCATTCGTCCATACCATCCCTCGCTTCAAGGTAGTCGGCAATAACTTCAATGAAGAACCCGAACAAATTGGGACTCATGAGACACCCCTGCTTCACGCCCTGCAGAGATGCAAAGATGGACCCTAGGCGACCGTTAACCTTGACCCGTTGGAGAACACGTTCGTAGCATATAAATACACAGAAAACTTTGGTTTTCTTTCGTTTCGCTCATAAAGCCTACAGTTACAGGCGCGATATCTGACGCGCAGCTCCACCTCCGCATGCCTGTTTTTTTCAAGGTCTGTGGCGTCAGCTTCACCCGGCTGCCTTGACTGCTGCTGCAGCAGGCGGGCAGGGACATGGATGGGTCCCTACTGACTGGACTCCGCTACACCGCTCTGACGG